ATACATATATATATATATATACACACACACATATATATATACACACATATTTATATATATATATACACACACACACACATATATATATACACACACACACATATATATATATATATTCTGGACTTTTACTAGAAAAAATGTATTTATGTGGATGTTGCTGAGTTTAAACTAATTACTACATACAGTATAACATTTGGACGTCAACAAACTGCCTGGTACATTTTACTTCAACACGATGGAATGATGGAGACAGTATTCACCTTGTGTACCTTCTATAACTTCCTAGAGTTTGACGTCCAACCTCTGCTGACCTCTGTGTCCGTCAGGTGATGGTGGGCAGTACGTGCGTTCCCTTCTTGATCAGAAAATACAAATCAGACATGGAGTCGGCCTCCTCCACCTTCGTGAGTCGGCTCGTGGTCTGGAAGGGGACCAGAGGACACCAGGACTTCTGCACACAGCCTGCAGATTAAAATCCAGCTGCTTTGGTCAAGCTGTTTTCTTTCCTTCCTTTTTCTCATAAAACTGTTTAAAAGACGAGTCTTTATACATTACCAAGGTTTATATTTTAAAATTATACACCATGTGTTTAGTACTTGGAGTATCAACAGAAACATGTTGTTTGCTTTAATAAACTACTTCTAAGTGATTTATTCTGGTTAATCCCAGGACTCATTCACAAAACAGACCTGAAACAACAAACATATTTTGGTGTATTAGATATTTTGCCAATCAAACTGGTCAGAAACTTTATAAAATTAGCTGTAATGTTTTTTTTTTAAACGTGTAAACTTTAAAGTCTGTCCTGTTGCATTACTTATATTTTAATTTAATCTCTTTGTTTTTCTTTTATGTCATAATTTACCGGATGATGCACAGCACATGTTTGTGTTTGTTTGTTTGTTGTTCTGGCGTCTCTTAATAAACATTTTGTTTTACGTGTATTACGGTAATTTAAAAAACCGCCGTGCGCGTCTCTTCCGGTCATTACGGCCGCTGCTGATCACGTGTCCGGAAGTCGCTCCGCTTGTTTTCTCTCCGGAGTCAAAAAGAAGCGGCGGAGTTGTGGAAGTTTCATCCCGGCAGCGGCGACAGGAAGGCCGGGGGCAGAGGAGGCCGGCGGCGGAGCCACCGGAACCGAACTATGGGCCTCGTGGCGAGGCTGCGGAAGGAGTGGTTCATCATCGGGATAGTTGTGGTCATCCTGTCGGCCAAACTGCAGCCGAGCGTCGGTGTCAGGGGAGGTGAGTCCAAACTCCAACCCCTCTGGAGTTCACTGACGAGGCCTTGAAATGCCCCCGAGCCCCCGCGGGTCGGAAGGAGGCAAAGAAAACCGAGTCCAGTGTTTTTAACCAAACTGAATTATTTATTACCTGTCGAACAGGTTTCTTCTTACCTGTCCGTGACACGTTGCATTCAGCAGAAACGCCTCCAGCCGCACATTTCCTTCATACTGAATATTTATTTATATTCAAAGTGGTGTTCTTAAGTAGCTTGTGTTAAAGAGTTTATTGGAGACAGTAAAACACATAATTTATAAGATTATGTGTAATTCCAGTCTCTTATCGCACCTGTAGATTAGAGAAAGGCTGCTTTTGGTGTGATGCCTTCAGGTGATGCTCGGACTTTTCACCACTTTTTGCTTATGTTGCTTGCTTTTATTTTGAAACACCTAGAAAGTTTATGTAGTTTCATCTATTAAACCAAATTATGTAGTCGTGAAACTAACACTCATTGAAGGAATGCTTATCACCCCCTGATCTCCGTGATCTGTTGGCACTCGGATCGTATGTAAGGGATGACTCTCGGCTACTACCACACCGAACCTGAGCTCAGTATCTGAAACTGAGTTATGACCGTTTTTCATTTGATAAATTCAGTTTGTCAGAACTTCATCTGCTGTAAATGTGCAACCAGTCGTGACTTTTAATATCGGTCCAGTGGTTCAGGAGATATTTTGCTAACAGATATACAAATGAACACGTGATTACATTATCGCCCACCTTGCATGACGTGTCTGTTGCTTTTCGCTTCATCAGAACTGTTCTGGCTGTTTGTCACTTTTATTTTTTTATTTTGTTATTTTATGTGTTGATACAGTGTAGATCAGATGTTGCCATGGTTACTAACACCCCCCCCCCCAATCTGTCTGTCAGGCCCTTTGAAGCCAGAGATCACCATCGCCTACGTCGCCGTCTCACTCATCTTCTTCAACAGCGGCCTGTCGCTCAAAACGGAGGTGAGGAACAGGTTCTCCCCGCGATGCGTTCAGGTGCAGCTCGGACACATCTCATTTTGTGTGCGTGTGTGCTTCAGGAGCTGACGAGCGCGCTGCTCCACGTCCGCCTCCACCTGTTTGTTCAGTCCTTCACGCTGATCTTCTTCCCGTTCGCCGTGTGGCTGCTGCTCCAGGTGCTGGCGCTGACCGCCATCGACCCGTGGCTGCTCCGAGGGTACGCTGCGCGTGCGCGCGTGTGTGTGTGTGCTCGTGTGTGTGCGCGCGTGTGTGTGTGTGCTCGTGTGTGTGTTCTCAGTTCCTACAGGCGACCTTCTGTTCGTGGTTTGTTGGTTTTGAAACGGTTGAGTTCAGTTTTCTGAAGAGGACTCTGTTTGAACACAGTCCGTCTGCGTTCATGGTTTTTTCTACAAGCTGATTCAAGATGGCCGCCGCAGCTAGTCTACACATTCCTTCTAGAATTGCGTCACTCGAGGTGGCTGCATGTTGGAGCAGCTCTGTTGCTTTCATTCAGAGATATTACTTTTAAAAACTGTAATTCCTCTTGTTTCTGGATGTAAATCACTGTTTTCAGACGATGGTTTCCTCTGGGGTCAGACGCTGCGCAGCTGGAAGGATTTTTACTGAAAACTTTTTACTTTTGAACATTCGTGATGAAGCGTAACCATGACAACAAGGTGGTTTTTACAACTGGGAGCAGCTGATTAACATCTAAAGCTCAAATAATACCTCAAATATAGCCCCAAATCCCAAGTGAGTTGAAAAGGAGGTGCTGTAGATGCATCACCGTCTACATTGGCGGCGTTGCTCGAGTGCCTGACCACAGAGATCCTGGAGCAGGAAATGGGGCTGGTGTTGTGACAGCGGGAGGACCAGGATCATCCCGACACCTGCAGCCGTCTGTCCGCAACAACAAGCTGCTGAGAGGAGTGACCGTCGCTCAGGGAGGAGTTCTGCTCAACATCCAGGAGGTCCTGGTGCCCAGGAGGACCGAGAAACCCGACAAGTCCAAGTAGACGGATCAACGTTTGCAACCAGTTCCTTCAGCTCCGCTACAAGAGATCCTTCCTGTCCACAGACACCAGCATCTAGAACTTAATGAAACCAGGACGATGAGTTTCAACGTTTAAGGGTCTCGGTCTCCGTGTGGGGACGGTTTTGAATCCAGTCATTCGCCTTTTTCAGAGGAACTTTGGGGGGGGGGGGGGCATTACGACTGGGCCAAGTGCTAAATTTCCGCAGACCTGATTTTCAAAATAAAACATGTTTTTCTTTCTGTGCGGGG